CAAAATTCAATTTATGAGTTTTCGCGATTCAAGTTCTAATTTTGTGTGCTTCAGCCTGAAGAAGTGGAAACTTACCTCTAGCGCTTAAAAAATTATAACCTTTTAATTGATAGTAGTTTTTTGAAACTTTATAACTACAAAAATGCCAAGTAACAATAATTGTAAAACATTGGTCTTAGTTCGGTTATTAAAAAAATTAATAAGGAAATAAATTACAATATTTTCGATCATAATTATGTAAGAGAATAAATTTTGTTATTTGCAAGTTATTTTTAGTTTAAATAAAGTACTACAAAACTGTTCCCTAAACTACTACTTTAAAATAATGGTCAATTATGAAAACTCCTACAAATTTTTCATCTTTACTTGATTATTCATTAAGAGATATTGAAAAGCTTCATTTATTTTAGTTTTAAAACGCCCATTTTATTTACCAACCGCATTACATATAATAATAATGGGAGGTTATGTGATCGCATTAAATTTCAACATGTCAAATTGCAAACGAAAGCCCAATAGATTTTCTTAAAATTTTTTGTTAAGTTTGTTATTAAAATAATGAACAAATAAACTAATTCGGAATATAAGGGCCGAAATCCGAATTTTCGTAAGGGAACGATATTATATTTAAAAAACTAATTAACGGAATTTATTTAAACTTAATATTCAAGTTCTCTTTGTCAACTAAGCTAGTTGACGTATATTTCCAGGAAAATACGATCTTGAAAAGTGGACTTAGAACCAAATTTGTATTTTTAACCAAGAGATTACCAATGCTTTTAATACAATTCTAAATAAGTGTTTCCAGAAAATTTTCATAATTTTGTGAAAATACTTTCAATAAACTACAAAATTTACTTTTCGGGCAGTTATATGCTGGCCACATCAATTTTTGTTTTTTCTTTTTATATAATCACATTCAATTAGAAATTCTATTGAAAATATTTTGTTTGTACACTTCATAAGTAAGTTTATTGTTTTATGTTATATTTTAGCTATAACTAGGTAGGTATTTTATTTTTCTAACATTTAGTATTCAAAAGCAAAACAATTTTTTTTCCCAAAACTTAAAATAAACTTTTAAAAATTTTTTAAAAATTATAAAATAATATAAAATTACCATAATATTATACTCGTATGTACATATGTATTATAAATTTGAATTATTACGGTAACTAAAAAATTTATTATTTTTGAATAGACTAAGTTTAATTTTTATAAAAAAAAATACAATTTTTATGCATCAATAAATGATTTGGTCAACTGTATTCAAAATAAATTTTAGGATTTTTGCATATTTTAGCTTAATTAAGTGTAAAAAATATATCATGCTGAAATTATTTTTATCAATATTAAAAATTATTGAAATGCACTTACCTATTAGAAAAAAATCATATTATTTGAAAGAATAGTACAAATTCTGTGACAAATTATGTTTGTTAGAATGTTGTCATAACCAGCGGCTTAAATTTGATGTGTAAAATTTTAATATAGGTTTAATTGAATTTATTTATTTTTGCTAAAAATCCAATTGTAGTATTGGATGACTTGTTTAAAGAAATCGTACATAATTTGCTAAAAATATTACATGTTATTAACTTCGTTTCTTATTTGTTTGTCCGGAAACTAGATATAATTGGGTTTTGAAGATATTTTTAAGCTATAATAACTCAGCTCTCAAGTGATTCACCTAGATGGGAAAAGGCTTGTTGAAAAGGTATCGGCATAATCTACAAATTTTGTGTGTGGACTCCCCCTAAAAAGCGATTTGACTGGGGTTCCGGCCTTAAAATAAGAAGTCCTAAGAAGTAAAAATTAAGAGTTTGTAAATATGGTGAAGTGAAATATCGTCTCGGTGTGCTCAAAATTTTTGGGTGAAAAACCCACCTTGAAATGGATTCTGTTAGAGCACAATTTTAGTGGTTCGCGTTTTTAATGGAAAGTAAGTGTTATTTCACCTAAATATATAGTAGTTAAGTTCTAAATAGTGTTTATTGTATAGTATTTAACTTATTTGAATAAAATTTAAATAAATATTATCCTGTGATAGTTAAATAAAACACAAATACAACAAATATTCATAAAAACTTTACTACATATTCCAAAATCAAATTCGTTTTGTATAATATAGCCAGAACCTATGTCTTTCTTTGATTTATAAATTAAAATAATATTCAGCGTGCTGCTTGATAAACCACACAAATAAATTTATCTATTAATCTAATTAAAACTATAGAATAGACCATACTATATAGAAGTATACTCATATTTATGTTTAAACCCTTTATGTATAAATATAAATAAACTGCAATTGTAAGTTTATCAATGTTGATGAATTAGAATAGCGTTCACTTAAACAAATAACTGTAGTGCTTGTATAGATATAAGTGCACATAATATTTATTCTTGTAGTTTAATGAAAATCTTATGTCTATATATTATATTTGAAAATATGTTTAGATTAAGAAGTTTATCATTTCATTGAAATTAAGTGACTAATAATAATTATCTTAATATTAGTACTTGACACGATTTTAAAATTTTTCTGTAAACTATAAAAGCCAAAATAAATATTCATTTGGTTATACATTTGGTTATACAGGTACATGAATACATAGCTTAGCACTATAACACTATATAGTATACGTAATTAAGCATAAATGAATATGTACATTATGTTGATTATGTATTTATTTAAAGTAGAAGACTTTATTTATAAACCCTTTCAAAGAATTTAAATCGAACTGGTCAATAATTATTATAAGAAAGAAATCATATTATCTTTTGCTCCTAAAAGATCCTGAGATAACCTGAAAAAAGAGGCGAATAAATCAATAATTACTATGATTGAATTGTTAATTTTTAAACTAACAAAACAAAAAACATTGACTAATCAGGAATTGAAAATTATATTTACTTTTTCATTTGGAAAAAAGCATATGTAAATTAGTTCTAATAATAAAATTGTATTTCACAAATCACATGATTGGTATTAAATTAAGAACAAAATGGCAGTGAGTGAAGAGGATATATAAACTTTAAAGCACTTTCACAAAAAAATTTTTAGAAAAGGTGCTTATTAGTTTGACTCTGTCCGTCCGTCTATTTATATGTTTAGAAAACTTCCACACTCTTAAAATTAGACAATGACTATGTAATTAATTTCTTAGGGTTTCATTTTAATGTTTAATATTGTGGTTTTGAAATTCGATTTTAATAATGCATTACATAACTAGATTGTGCTTAAAAGAAGAATTTTCACTTGTTGATTTGAAAAGTGCTGCATTACAAACCATTTTTTTGGCCCAACTTTATTACTACATGTTAACATTTTTAAATAATTTTAACCTGATCAACAAATTTTAATACCCAGAAGAAGTAAGTGAAATTTAAAATATTAACGAGGCTATCAACAATTAAAAAATTTATTAAAAATTGTATATTTAATGTCTTTCTTTCAGTCGGGTAGTCCGCTTCAATAATTTAAACATAATTATTGTAGTTTCAAAGTAAAAAATTTAGCATAGAGTTTAATTTCAAAGTGCGCAATATTTTGAGTGAAAAGTGTTAAAAATGAGCTCTTTAGGTTTGTTTTTGTTTTTTTTAATGCATTTTTTAAAATTTGGAAATCTCTACAATTCCAACAATTTTTAATTAAGATACTTTTTTGGAATCTGGACTTTATTGATATGTACAATCGGAAATTTCCTTATTTCAATATCACTATCAGTCTCTTCCATCATTAGTAGTTAGAACTAATGGTAAATTTGTCCAAAGGTTATAATAAAAACTTTTTTACTAGAATTAGTATGATTTAGGAAGCTCTGTATCCTTGTCAACTGATAGGAAAAATGTACAGCAAGAGAAAACAAGGGAAAGAAAAAGAAAGATATGTTTCTTATCCAGACTGAATAAGAAACATCAGATCAAATAATAGAAATTCTAATATAATATTCTAATTATAATAAATAATAAGAAAGTTTACTAGAAATTATTTTTAAAAGAATGGAACTGATGTTAAGGTAATCCAGAAATTTTTCAAGCTTAATTTAGAAGTAAGTGACGGAAGAATTGCGTGTGCCATAAGCAAATTGACGGAGGAACTGTAGTACCTGTTAATAAAAGAGGAAAACATCCACCAAAAAATAAAAAATCTAATGGAAAAATAGAAAAAGTTATCGATTTTATCAAGAAAATTTCTTCATATCAATCCCACTGTATAGTAGAAATTCTAATGCGAATAGGAAATATTTATCACCTCATTTAAATATTGACAAACTATAAAAACTATACGAAGCATTAAAAACCAAACTACTCCATACCAGCCCCGATCAGTGCTGTCATTTGATTTTTTCGATGGAGAGCCCTACAATTAAAAAATAAGAGCGATTTTCAAAAACGTGGAACCAATTTGTTTGCTTCACATAAAAACAATTTATTAACATAAAAATGTAAAAAACAAAAAAAAGAAAAACAAAAACTTCCAACAAAAATTATAAACAAAAAAATAAGTAAATACAAATTAAAAAATATCACAAAAATCTGATGTGATCAGCACATAACCGACCGCAAAGTGTATTGTCTAGTTAAGTGAAAGTGTTGCAGAATATTATAAAAATGTCTGTTAAATACTTCTTTCCAATTTTTAGGACATTAGTAAGCTTATAGTTAACCTATCTACAAAAATGTAAATTTGGCTCATAGTAGAGTTTTGTTTTGTGCTACCCGAATTCCGTGAAATGCTCGCCAGTTAGTTTCGCTAACAACCAGACCTCAAAAATAAAATTTCAAGAAACTCCATCAATTCGTTCCGTAGATATAGTGATATATCAGTTTTCGAGCCCTGATCTTTCGATTTGAAATTTTCGATGAAATTGAATTGAATCAAAACGACAGCCTTGGACTCGATTGAACATTTGTAAGGATAGTTCCAATGAAATAATAATCGAGGAAGAGAGGATTTTGCATAGGTTGGAGGAATACTTCACTGATTTGTTTAAATGACCGATTATGAAAATGAATTGAACGAAAATTTGGTATCCATAAATAGCGCTGAAAGCAGAGTGGCGGAACCTTGTATTGACGAGACAAAAAACGCAATCCATAAACTAAAGAGCAACAAAGCTAGTGGCGAGGATTCAAAAACAAAAGAGTTGATCAAGTACGGCGGTGATGAAGTATTCAAAAAATGCGTGAATTGATAATTTTAATATATAGGAATGAAGATATTTTTGGAATATCAAGTTAATATTTCCCATGTATAAGAAAGGAGATAAAAAAGAGTTTAGAAACTATCGTCGAATATTTCTCTTAAGTCTTTTTTTGAATTTCGTAGTGATAAGTTGTAGACCTTTTTTGGTTGCTCTTATTTCGTATTTTTTCGAGTTTTTATTTAGTAATATTAATAAAAACAACAATTTTTTTTTCCTATAGTGTTGGGTTTTTTATCGTTTTATTTTGTTAATTTTTAAGGTTATTTAATTATAACCTTTTAACGTTAACCGTTGTTCCGGTTCATAAGAAGGGTTTACGTTCTTCGGTTAGTAATTATTGGCCTATTGTTAAAATGTTAGCTATTCCGAAGCTTTTTGAAAGTATTTTGGTTGATTACTTCTACTCTTTTTGTAGTCCTTTTATTCGCCCCGGCCAGCATGATTTTCAGGTTATACTGAGAAAGTTGGCTGGCGTGAGTTTTTCTCTTTTTTCGTAACTCGATAGGGGCTTACTCCTATTTGTCTTTGCAGATTTTATCAGGTTTCTTTGGATAGTTTTTGGGTATGGTGTCGGGTTATTGGCTTTGAACTTAACATTAGTATGTGTCGGGTCATGAGTTTTTCTCTGAGAAGAGAGTCTTCTGTTATCCGCCATGATTATTGACTTAGCTGGGCGGTATTGGGGTGCAATTTTTGTTATCTTGAGGTTATGCTTCATTGTAGGCTGGATTTTGGTGCTCATTTGAATATGATCCTTGGTAGGGCTAATTCGAAGCTGGGTTTCGTAATGAGGTGGGCAAAGAGAGTTTATTGATCCGTGTGTTGCGGACCATTTGTATGTGTCCTTTGTTAGACCAATTCTTCAATATGCTTGTCAGATTTGGGTGCCCTTTCGTGTTGTGGATGTTTCTCGTTCTGAATCTGTTCAGAACATCAGAAGTCTTAAAGTCTTATCTGTTCAGACAAGACTGGCCAGATCCTTTTAAATTGCCGTCGTATGAGGCTAGGTTGATGTTGATCGATTTGCAGTTCTTGAGGGCACGTAGGGTTTTTGCTGGCATAGTGCTTATCCATCAGTTCGTACGGGGGACATGTGGCTCCTTCTTTGTTTGGTTGCTATTAGGGATAACGTAAGGAATATGAGGTCTGTTTAGTTGTACTGATTATGGCGGGAATAAGACGGTCACCAGAATGTTGCGTTCTGTTAATTATAATTCCTTGGTAATTGCTCGTATCGGTCCTTTTTTACACCTGCTATTAGGAAGGATACTCTTAGATCTAGACTTTTGTCTAATTAAAATTTATAGTAATATTTGTGTTTCATGTTGTTCTTGTCTTTTTCTCTCGTCTTTATTTATCTTACTATCCATATTAACTATTACATTGCCTGGTTGTAGGTTTTTTTGTTAGTTCTTACGGTTTTTTGATATTATTATTTTTAAGTTCTGCTCGTTCTTAACATCCCCTTTCCGCATAGAATTCGGTGTAAAACAAGGGTACGCATTTTCATCATTGGTATTGGTGTAACTTGATGTTACATTATGCTCTCAAAGATATTGATACTGACAAAACAATTTTTACCAAATCAGTACAAATATATGCATATGCAAACGGTATAGATATAAGAGCCAAAAGAGTACAAATACTAAAAAAAGCGTTTCTAAAACTAGGGCGAAATACTACTAATATCAGTTTCAGCATAAATGAACAAAAAGCAATATTCTTTATAAAAACCAAAAGCATAAGAAAGTAAAATTTAAATAATGAAAATTATAGTTTTGAAAATGTACCTCAAATTAAGTAAAATTCAGTACTCAAATCGCACATTTGCAAAAACAATAACATAATATACACTCGAGTATACATACTCATTAATATATAAAGCTTCTCTGTAACAAAATAATACAGAAAATTATGCCGTTATTTTTCCCAATGTGCGATATTTTTATTTTTCTTTTCAACTTTTTATTAAAAAGAAAAGAAAAGAAATTCTTTCAGAATGAGTAAACTCCAAGAAAGTGATGTAAGTATTTCTTAAATTATAAATTTTAATTTATTTAACATTTACTTTCAGTTTTGTGATTTATACATAAAAAAAAACAAAAGATCCTTAATGTGGAAGTATGTGGGGCAAAAGAAAGGTGACCCCATGGAAGATATATATTTTTGCTTGCTGTGCGTAAGAGAAAACAAGAAAAAATGCTGGAGAAAAAGTGGTAACAGGAACTGTTGCCTCAAAAAACATTTGCTAACAGCACATAATATTAATTTAAATGTTGTTGATGCCTCCACATTTAACGACACAATCGAAGAAGATTTGGGCGAATTTGCCAATGTGCTTCTTAATTCTCCAACTCTTTCGTAAGTTCTCAATTTTTTTGAATATTTTAAAAACAAATTAAATAATTTTATAAATTTGTATACCGCTTAAGACCCCATTACCCAAATACTCCTGAAATGCCACGAAAAATAAACTTAAGTAAGACTCCCTCACCAAAAGTGGCACAGATTGTTCCAGTGCCACAAACGCCAGAACAACTCCCACAACAATATGAAAAGAGGCAAGTCCACTCCTTAGCGCCAATATCGATTGAAAGCTCACGAAGTAAAGAGGATAAAATATTAAGAATCAAAAAATTCGGAGAGTACATGGTCGAGACAATGATTGCGAAAGATGTAAGTACACTATAATGTAAATATTATTTTAGAAAAAAAAAATTAATTCAATATAATTCGTTTTGCAGATACCTGAGGCAAAACAAATAAAATTAATATGTTCAATTTTGAAACAAATTGCAGAAATTGAATAATAATAAATTAGGTGATTAATTTTTGAATAATATAATTTGAATAATAAAATATTTACATTACAATAATTTAATTTTTTTTTTATTTTTAGGGACTACATGTGTAAAGAATATTTTAAATTTAAAAAAAAATTATTTTCTTAAATAAATTATTTATAAAATTTTTTAGATTTCTTAAAAATATAAAAAATAATTAAAAAAAAAATTTTTAATTTAAAAAAATGTTTTATTTCATAACACAAACTTAAAGTATGACTAATGAATGAAGAGTTTCAAAAAAAATTATATACTACAAACATATGAGTATGTACATAGCTAACTAATTTACAATTACATACATATTAATAGACAAATTAGATTTATAGAAACAAAAATTAATTGATAATTTATATACAATTTATTAAAACGTTATTATATTTTCTATATACTTATATATATGAATAATTATATATGTTGAACTATATTAATAAATTTCGAGATCACCGGTCCGTTTACTAGGCTGAACTGAAAATGGGAATTAAGCGAATTACAGGCAATGGAAATTTTGTGAAAAGGGATGAATTAGACAACGTAGGAGACAGCTTTAAGAAAAGACGTTGTATTGGAAGTTTCAGGATCATATATTTCGATCAATTTTCTTAGCTTCTTTGCCAAGATGGAGTACTTATTATTTGAAGGTGGTAATGGATTATGGAATTTTGTTCGCTGATACTCCATTTCTTTGTGCAGGTTCACTAGAAATTGGAAAAAAGGCAGCTTTCGCAAACCAAACGAGTATGTTAATCCATTATGCCATCCTTCAATGAAATTTGTAGTCTTTGGAATTCCTTGCAATATTGATTGCCTGTGATTCCAAAAACTTGGAGGAAAAAGACCATTAAACATATAAGTCCGGTGGAAATACTCTACGTACCTTTTGCAGGCAAATTGCCCTGCAAACAGTTGAGAAACTGCCTCATATCCCTTTTCGACGTCATTTAGAGGCAACATTGATAATGCAAAGAACATTTTAATGTTCTTGCGAAATTCGGGGTCATTTTCATATTTTGTCTTCAAACCTAATTTTTGAAGACACCTTATATTTGCCTGTTTAAAATGGAAAAAGCAACCCAGTGTTAGGCTTTCTGGGAAAAAATTTTGAAATGATTTAATTGCCGCGCTCTCGAAATCTATTAATATAGTACGTTTTCTATTGCTTAAATTTAATTTTTTTTTTATAATTCCTAATGTATTAAAGTAAATTTTTTCAGTTTTACCACATAGTAGGGCAAAAATTGCAGCATGTGCTGCACCATGCTTCACAAAGTGCAGCACATACAACTGGTAAAACGGTCTACATACTATGTCAAAAGTCCCATCTGCCATCCAAATATCAGCTGACTCTAAGGCGGCAGCCATTTCTCTAATACAAAATATTATAAGTCTATTTCCTTCCGACATACCTGAGTCATACAACATATGTTGCATGAGATCTTCAGGTATGTCGGAAGTATTTTTCTTATAATATTTATTATAATGACGCCTTAGAGTCGCTTTCAAATTTTTTTCAGATGGCAGAAGGGACTTAGATTCTACGGACATTTTAAATGTCACATCCGAAATTACCTGGAAATAAGAAAAAAAAATTTTTTTAATACTTTTGTATTAGTATGTTATTTAACATAACTTACAGATCTTGGTGTGGTCGTCGAAAGTAAAATAGCTTCTTTCATTTTTAATATAGCTGATTCGACCACACCGTTTTCTATGTCCGGCCTCTCGTGCGTGTGTACTATTTCACAACCCGTTTTTTTAATTTCCCCAGTCTTAAATATATGTATGCATGCAGAGCATTTTTGTTTACAGCTAACTCTACATTTGTAGGTATCATAATATAAATTTTTACTAAAAAATTAAGTTTTAATTATCTAAATACCGCAAATAATATTAAAAATAATACCTTTTGAGTATGTATTCATACCCATTAAATTTAATTATATTACTCCCTTTGGTCGTCAATTGTTTACTCTAAAAATAAAATAAATAAATTAAAAAAAATAAATGTTAAATAAATTAAAATTTATAATGTAAGAAATACTTACATCACTTTCTTGGAGTTTACTCATTCTGAAAGAAATAAATGTACATAATTAGATGAGATTATATAAAGATAGGTGAAATGTGCTTTTTTGGAAAGCTGTATTAATATGCTAACAAATTTTTGAATAATTTTTACAATTTGAAAATTGTTGTTTCTTTTTAATAAAAAGTTGAAAAGAAAAATAAAAATATCGCACATTGGGAAAAATAACGGCATAATTTTCTGTATTATTTTGTTACAGAGAAGCTTTATATATTAATGAGTATGTATACTCGAGTGTATATTATGTTATTGTTTTTGCAAATGTGCGATTTGAGTTTGGTAAAGGAAAGAAAGAATTATGTATTGGCATGTATGTATGTATGTCGAAGTCAATAATTAATATGTGTATATTTATATGATTGATGTTATCAGTATGTATAATATGTATTATAATTACTCTATTTAATCCTATAATGATCTACTCAATGATCTGTATAAATAAGGAATATTGCGTGAATATAAATTTTATACTCATACATTTCCTAGAGTATACACCTGTAGATCATTAAATTTAAATATGGAGAGTAATTAGAAATTATTTTTTTTTTTTTATTTGTAAAATTTAATATTTTTAAAATTAAATTTTACTTTATTTTAATTAAATTAGTATAATTTAAAGTATTACTTACTTTATAGATGTTTTTTGTTTCTTGAAATGTTCCTCAATTCGTTTTGAAAATTTTTCTGTTTTTTTATTAACAGCACAAAATTCACTTATATTTTTTATATTATTTACCTGTAGATCATTAAATTTAAATATGGAGAGTAATTAGAAATTATTTTTTTTTTTTTTATTTCTAAAATTTAATATTTTTAAAATTAAATTTTACTTTATTTTAATTAAATTAGTATAATTTAAAGTATTACTTACTTTATAGATGTTTTTTGTTTCTTGAAATGTTCCTCAATTCGTTTTGAAAATTTTTCTGTTTTTTTATTAACAGCACAAAATTCACTTATATTTTTTATATTATTTATTTTTAACTTCAAGTTGTTATTATTATTATTTTTAATTTTAATTTACAAATTTTTAATTTAATTATTTTGATTAAAAAATCACTAACTTTTTTACTTTTGCAACACACAATTTGAAACTTTTTAAGCAAAGCTTTAAATGGTTGTTATTTTGTTGTTATGGTTACATAAGGAAGGAGTAATAGGGTTGCTTAATTAATAAAGTTCAAAAAAAATTCATCAGTATATGGTATAGAGTCATTCATATAGAGTCATGATATGTACGAATGAGTTACAAATTCAGTTATAAATTCATTAATTTGAAAGCATAAATGAAATATTCTTTAAAAGTTAAAAAGTTATAAAATATGTTAAAAATAAATTAAGGGGTTAGAAAAATAAGGAGTTAAGTGACATTTTTCTTAAAAATAGTTTTTTGGCAGCTTTAGTCTTTTTAAAAAATTACGCATCTTTTACACAAGTCCGTTTTTCGAAATATCAAGTTTTACGGTATTTAGACAATAAAAAAAATAGTTAAGTACACATTTTAATATTTTGCTTATTAAATGAATGCGTTAAGATCACTTAAAATACTCGTACAATATAAATTTTTTCAAATAAAATGATCTCACTTTCATTCAGAAACAATACTATTGGGATATTTGATGATATTAACGAATTAACAGAAAATTATTTCATATTTTTGTTTTTGTTTATTAATTTCAGTACCCACATGCCCAGGTAGATATTATTTAGTAATTTAACAAATATTATGTATTGATATTATACATATTTAATATTTTAATACCTAGTATAAATGAATATAGAGTATTTGAAAACCTGTATTACTTTTATCTTTTTAAATTAATTTAAAATAAAATTACATAAGTTTGTTACTTTTATTATGAACAAATATGACAAACTTTTTTTGTTATTATTTTCTAAATTAAATTTTGTTTTTTATTTTTTTAATAGTTGAAAGAATAATACAAAAAAATAAAATAAAAATTCTGTTAAAAATGAAACAAAAATTCAATTAACGCTTTTTAATTATTCAATAGTTTGTTTTTTTTAAATTTTATTGGTGTAAGAAGGGATTCCAATTTTGCCGTAACATTCTCAAAAATTTGAAAGTATTAAAATCAGAATATAAAAATGCGTTTTTCTCAAAATATTGAAAATGTTACTTAACTCCTTCTTCTTCTAATCCCTTAAAATATGTTTATTGTTATAATTATACTATAGAGGGTAAAAAGTTTCATACCTACCAACAATTCATGCCTGTTATCTGTAATTTATAATTAACATTAAGAAAAAAAGAAATTTTCATTTTTTTTATTGTTTCTTATATTTGTCCATTTTCTATTTACTCTTTATAACACTCTATTATACGGGTTATTTTATACGAGTTTAAAAAATTTAAAAAGTTAATTTAATTTTTTTTTTAATTTTTTGTAAAAATTTTAAAAAGTTCTGTAAAGTGAAAAATTGTTTAAAACAACTTATTTTAAATAATATATTGCATATTATTAAAAATTTGAGTGCAGTTCTCAATAAAATAAAATTTAATTAAAGAAATTAAATAAAGAAATAAATTGAGTCATGAAATGAAGTTAATTTATTTGCAAGTTTGACGTATTTGTGTGCTCAAATAATTATATTTGTGTAAATAGCTTTAAATAAACAAACTTCGTTAAAAATCCAAAAAATACCTTAAAGTTTGTACAGTGGAGTCCGCTTATAGTCACACAAAAAATTTCATAAAAATGTGTGACTATAAGCGTCAGTAGAAAAAAAAATTTATAAATAAAACTCAAAACTTTATTTTTTTTTTAAATTTAATTTTAAATTAAGTACATACTTATATTATAATGTACATAAATAAAAAACCCATTTGCTTTACGCAAAGAAAAACAAAAACAAAAATTCATATACATACATACTTACATATGTAGTACGTATATTAAAACAAAACAATATTCAAAAAATTCTTTGGAATCAAATCTAACGTCTACATGTACATATCACATAACATCACACATAATTTTATTAAGTTTCTCAATTGAAAAAGTCCATTATTTTGGTTTGCTTTGTTTCAATTAAAAGATCTAAAAGTTTGTTTTCTACATCATCAATTAAATTTGTACTTTCACCGTGCTGCTCGAAATAGAGTTGTATTGTATCCAAAGCGACAAGGTCTTCCTTTTTAGTCACATTACGAACTGGTTTTTCTTTTTCTACTTCCTCTTTTGAGTTATCATTTTGCTCCCTTAGAGCAATTTCATTTAAAATTTCATCATCATTCATTTCTCCAAAACATTGCTCATTTTTATCGAAATCAATAAAAAATTCAAAATCAGTTTCGGTTACATCAACAGGAACATTGATAACAATATTTTGCTCTACCTCTTGTTTTATTATAATATCTGGTTGGAAACCACATTTTTTAAAACAATTCGCTATGACAGCTGGTTTTACCAACCACCATGCCTTTTTAATCCAGTGTAATGCTTTCAAAATATTTATTGATTTTTAAAATTCTTCCAATGATTGATTTTTTTCTACAGCTGCTAGCTGCTTTCTCAATATATCCTGCCTGTAATATGCTTTAAAAGATCTAATAATTCCAGCATCAAGTGGCTGAATTAAACTGGTTGTATTAGCTGGCAGAAAAATTATTTTAATATTTTTGAATTGCACGTTATCAATAATTTTATGGCAGGCTGCATTATCCACAATCAAACAAATTTTACGTTTTTGGTTTTCCATGTTGTCGTCTAGTTCTTTTAATATACATGTCCATATCTTGCTTGTCATCCAAGCTTTATTATTTGCATAATACGGCAGAGGAATTTTTTTCCCTCGTAGACACCGAGGCTTATTGGATTTCCCAATAACAAATAAATATTTCTCTGAACCACTCATGTTAACAATAAACAATAGTGTAAGACGATTTTTTTGATTCTTACCTCCATAAATACAATCCTTTTTAAAGGACGTACCTCCAGAAGGAATGGCTTTGTAAAACAAAGCTGTTTCGTCTGCGTTAAAAATGTTTTCAGTTTCATACTGATTTAAAATTTGAGCAATACTCGTCGACAGAAAATAATTTGCAGAATCTACGTCTGCAGCACTTTTTTCACCGTGTCCTTTTTTGAATATTATATTGTTCCGCTTTTTCCATCGGCTTAGCCAGCCTGTATTTGGATCGAAGTCTATATTTAATTTTACTGCAAACTTTTTAGCCTGTTTCATAATAAGCGGCCCACTTATAAATGCATTTTTATTTTTCATCTGTTCGAACCACAGCATTAGTGCCTTATCAATTTCTTCATTTTTTCCAGATCTTATTTTTTTTCTTAAAATATTTTTGTTTTGTAGATCTAATTTTTTTAATTTGTTTTCCATGCCTATGATTTTCGAAATCGTTGAAATATCACATCCGTATTCAGCTGCCAGTAATTTTCTTTTTTGGCCTTTCTTAGCTTTTTCCAATAGCTCGATTTTTTGCTTTACTGTTAAAGTTTTTCTCTTGCTCATTATTTTTTCTTCTTATATGTACCTTAAAATAAGATTTACAAAATTTTACACAGAATAAAAAATAAAATTTATTACCTTTCTATGTACATATTTCAAACACTATTTTAAATTTTTGAATTACAAATTAAAGTAATGACAAATAGGAAATAATGTACCTATGTATGTACATACACAAAAGCGACGGAAAAAAATATTTAAGTTACAATATTTGCCGCTACAAATTCGACAACAAATATTGTAATTAAAATATTTGCCGTAAAGTAGGCAGTAAAACTACTTACCGCTTTAAAAAAAAAGGCGTTCAGAGTATGTGACTATAAGCGACGTCAAACATATGAATTAAGCAATATGGTTCACAAAAAATACGATCCAATAACCGTATGTGACTATAAACGTTTGTGACTATAAACAATGAAATGCATGAAAATATAATAAAAAAGATGTTAACAACGAAATTGTTGACTGTAACCGAATTATGACTATAAACACTAGTGACTATAAGCGGATTCCACTGTAATTATTTAAAGTAAATAAAAATTACTGAAAATAAAAATTTCATTATGGAGGACATAGCGGTAAGTGTTATGAAGCAATATTGAAGAAAATACAGTAATCGTTAGATTTACGATGTCTTCAATTCCTTCTATTTTAAATACAAAAAACTGTTAAGTAAATTTTTTTTGTAAAATTAACCAAAAAATAAAATTAAAAATTTGCTGCATATTTCAAATTTTAGCGTATATTCAAACCACGTATTAAAGACCAACGTAAATTTAGGGATAACTGTACTTATTTTTGTGAATTAGTTTTCTGTTTTACATACATTGTATAAATACTATATCGAAGATGTGAATGTGTATAAGAAAGGTTTTATCTAATATACATATCTTCATAAAATTAGATTTTTACCTACATCTACATATGAAAATTTATATTTTATAATCATACATTTTGAGAGTCATTTTACTTTTTGTTACAGATAATAAAAGAAAATGTTAGGCTCTTCTGATTTTACGACATGTAATACCCATTTCAAATATTAAGCAGAAGTTGTCGGTAAAAATGTAAAGGCCTTCAAAAATGGAAGCTTAAGAAGCCTTCATAGCGTATTATAAGGTAAATGAAAATTTTAACCATTTAAAAATTTGCATATGATTTCTGTGCAAAACATATGAAAAGTTTTTTAAATTCTAAAGTTATGGGCGGAGATGTCCAGATTTTGCGTCTCTAATCAATTGTTAATATTTAAAACAAATATGTATATATTTCAGAGTATACCAGAAGCAGATCACGCAGTGGGGCGGTATATCAATCAATGTAGAAAACTTAAAATTAACATCCAGGTTTTAATAGGAGAAAATATCGATTTGACGTTGGTCACAAATCAAATGTTCTTTTAAAAATCTGTTGGAAGCAGTTACTGTATGTTTACATGGGCATTTTAATATTCAATATCTACCCGAATGCAAGAGAATCGGCTATTTTATTCAAAATTACATTTACAAAATTATTACTAAATGTGACAAAGAAGACGCTGTACTGAAGACCTTAGCTCTAGATTTATAATTTCTGCAACAAAATAAAAATTAAAATCTTAAGAATAAAAAAGAATGTGTAGGTACGTGTGGAAATTTTATAATACATACAATTGCTATTGAATCTATTAAACTTAAATTTTATTTCAATAAGTTTAAAGAAATTTAAATGAGTAAATATAACTACATAGCTTTTATAATTTTTTAAATGAATTTTAAAAGCTATTGGTGTATTTCAAATTTTGACAATGTACAATTTGTAGTTAAAACATAAAAATTCATTATGTAATACGTAATTATTTGTCTTAAATACTGTGCGAATATTATAAAAATTTTTTTTCTGTGTAATAAAATTTTGAAGCTAAATTTTTTTGTGTTATTATTAACAATTTTTACTTTTTAATACAATTTTTTTTTTAAAAAGAATAGATTTCGAGATATATGGCATTAGATTAATCATAATTGATTTAAGTATGTAAAAAACTCTTGGTAAAGTTTGAAAATAACTTTTAAAGAAAAGTGAGACAGTTTTGGAGTTCTTGATAATTTTAAAGTTTTTGAGGAGAATTTGTGAAAAGAAATTTACTTAACCCACTAAAATTTATTAATTTTTGTTTCGGGGAATAATAAGCAAGGTGCTATTGTTACACAGCATGACAATGAAAGTAGGAGAATAGGCTTTTCAATAATGCTGTATACTGTACCTGTTAAGTGGGTTACAATTTTAATATTACATAGTTATTTTAACCATACTATGGTTACAAAATGAAACTTCAATAAGGTTGCGACAATTATGTAGCATGGTTGTTTTAACCATACTATGGTTGAAAAATGCAGCATTAATAAGGTTGCAACAATTATGTTGCATAGTTGTTTTAACCATATTATGTTTAAAAACATTCTCTCTATTTGGTTAACTTAACCATATCTGTTAGTTAAGTTAACCATAATATGGTTAAAATTTAAATATTTTTATGTTTGTATCAACCTTAATATGGTTGAAACTCAATTATTTTTATTTTTGCAACAACCATATTATGGTTGTATTTAACTATATAATGGTTGAAATTTGTATATAACAGCAACCATAATATATGGTTAAATGCAACCATAATATAGTTAAATACAACCATATTATGGTTAAATTTAACTATAATATAACCATATGAAAATATGGTAAATTTAATAATTTATGGTTGAAACAACCATAATATAATTAATTTTCATCGAAAAGTATATAACAGCAACCATAATTTATGGTTGAAACTTAATCATAGTATGGTTCTTTAAAATTATGGTTAACTTAACCATAAAATTTTTTTGTGTGAGAACAAAAATAAAATTAATGCAACATGTATAAAGTATTTTATAAATTCATCTTTAAATATCAAAGAAATTTTACATAAATATTCTGAACCAGGGCATTCCGAAATTCAGGAAGTTGACTGTGTTCATTCAGTTATTGAAAAGTACTGGAAAAATTTGGAGATATATAGCCCTCTGCACTTAATAAAATTATTAAAAAACATGCAAATGCCTAAAGTCAAGCTCGATGTAATTCAAATGTTAGATACCGACTTTAAAACTACTCAGCAATGGCATCCCAATTAAATTACTCGGCTATACCATTTACAAAAGCAAAATATCAACCATTTAATTTAAAATATAAAACTTCTTTCTCAGACCTAGAATTCAAGGTGATTTCCATTTATAAAAAAGGGACAAAAAAAACGTTTGCAACACCTAAAAATCTATTTGAGAGCAATGTTAAAAATATGGGAGATCGCCCTTATGTGAAAAATGAAAAGAAAGGTGATATAAAATCTATATTGCCATATTTACCTAAAGTCGATCAAGAGTATTTTAAAGCTTTACTGAAACTTAATTGAAAAATTTATATTACTAAATTAAATTAAAACAAAAAAAAACAAATGTATTAACGTTCTGTTATAGTATAGTATTTAAAAATGTATAAAGCTAAGAAGAGGCTGTTATTGTTTTTTTAAGTAATTAATTTTTATTTTAAAATGATTTACTGTTAGATTATAGGAATTTCAATATTTTATATTATAGCATTTAAAAATGAAACAAAGTACAATAATTAATTCCTAAAACTTAAGCTTCGAAAAGGCTGTTAATTTTTTGTAAGAAGTTATTAATTTTTTATTTTGAAAACAATTCCTGTATAGATTATAAGAAGAATTTAAATATTTTTATATTATAGTATTGAAAATATAAACAAAGTACAATAAATCATTTTGTAAATGCAGAGGCTAATAGTTTTGTTTGAGTTGTTATACTTTTTTTCATCATGGTAGTATGCTCTTATTATTTTTGTTATGAAATTTTCGGAATTTAATAATTTCAATAAAAATTTTTAAAAACATTACTTAAATAACTTGTTTTACTTTATATATTTCAGTATTAAATGCTTAAAATTTTTTTTTTAATATTTAATAATAAATTTGTTGTTGTTTTGCATGTTAATTTAATTTCTTTTTTGCTCCACTTCATACATTCCCTTAGTTAATTTGATAATTTTTTGAAAATTTTTGTTTGCTTCATAGTAATATAGTTTTCCCTTAAAAATATAACGCAACAATATAAATAAAATTTCAAATTTGCACAAGATCATGGAATATGCATCAAAGGCCAAAACGACTGGTCTTACAAAAGTTGCAATATTTCAAGAACCATAAGAGTCCGCAAACTGAAATTTTAAAATAAAACTAAAAATAAAAGTACTAAAAGTAAAAGTGCTTGGCGTATGCGACCGACAATAAGATTGTCGGTCGACGATAAGATTCCGGGTGTAGCTCCTCCGAAACTTGGCGGAATCCTTTCCTTTAGCAAGGAGACTAGATTCCTGGGGCTGGTTCTGGATTCAAAGCTGAACTGGAGGCCCAACAGCATGGAGAGGGTAAAGAAAGCAACTATTGCGATTTACTCGTTCAAGAGGGCCATCGGGAAAAGGTGGGGCCTGAAACCAAGCATGGTTTATTGGTTGTGCACCGCGGTGGTGAGACGGGTCCTGGTGTACAGAGTTCTAATGTGGTGGCCGGCGCTCCGTGCTTCCTTAAACGTGAGATTAATCAGCAACGTTCAGAGGATATTTTAATAATGTTGCAATTTTAATAATGTTGCAATAGATTCTTTTTAAAAGCGAGATTATCACTTGTTGAAGAGAAAAGTGCTACTTTAAAAACAATTGACCTCACTATTTTATTTAATAGTTTTACTGATGAGGATCATGAAAGTTTTTACTAATTTATTTTTCTGTCTCTGTTTAAATTATTTAAGATATATTATATTAAGAATCCTAGATTAAAAAAAGCATTTCAGTTTATTCAATCATAAACTGCCTTTACATAATATAAGATTTAAAAAATATTGCGTCAGCGGAAACCCCAAAAAGTTGTAAACTATCCATTTAGAACTTTATAGAAAAAAATCTGATGTGGTCAGCACAACCGACCGCATTGTGTATTGTCTAGTTAAATGAAGGTGTTACAGAATATTATAAAAATGTCTGTTAAATACTTCTTTCCAATTTTTAGGACATTAGTAAGCTTATAGTTAACATACTTAGAAAAATGTAAATTTGGCTCTCAGTAGAGTTTCGCTTTGTGCTACCCGAATTCCCTGAAATGCTCGCCAATTAGTTTCGGTAACAACCAGAACTCAAATATCAAATTTCAAGAAATTCCATCAATTTGTTCTGTGGATATGGTCAAAAATGTAAAATCGGCCCGCAAATCAGTTCTCGAGCCCTGATCTTTCCAAAAAATTTATATGTTCATTGTTTTAATACGAGGAGTTCATATATTAAATTTCAATGAAATCGGTTGATTATTTCTCTTTATGTACACAAAAATGTATATTTGGCCCGTAGTAAACGTCTAGCTGCCGATGCCTGATTTCTTCCAAAGCATAGGAATTTTTGCGGACGGTCGAGCTGAGCTTATATATAAAATTTCAAGTAAATCGGTTGAATATTTTCTTCAAAATGTTCAAAAATGTAAAACAGGCCCGCTAAAAAGTGCAGTTCCCGAGGCCTGATATATACCAAAAGTTCATCGATCTGTGCCATCGTGGAAGCAAACTTACATATAAAATTTCATTAAAATCGGTTCAGCCGAACTTGAGATACACGCATGCACACACAGACCGACAGACCGAAAGGTTGCTAAAAATAGTTTATTTACACTTCCCTACTATGGAGAAGTACGTTCCCACCGAAAACTCGATATGCAAAATTTGTTGCCATCACATAACCTACCTATTGTTTACACAATACGGTCGGTAAAAATAAGAATAAGGATATGTTTTATAAAACGAAATTCTATTTAATGGGATACTCGTAGATACCTAACAGAAACCCACAAAATATAACATAAAAGGTAAATATGAAGGAACAATCATAAAAACAAATCAAAAAGTAACCATACACTTTTGAATAAATATAAAAAAAAGAATATTTTTGCATTTTCCATTTCAATTTTATGAAATTTGTTTGAAATTTGAGTTTTTTCTTTAAATATAAACCTTTTGAAAAGAAAGACGAACGTAAACATGTTTTATAAAAAAACTGAATAATTTACAGGTTCACATTTATTATTGTGTATGTGCATTCAGAAATGGAAGAACTGAAAAAATGGCTATTAAAATAATTAATAATGAATACCTGTAGGTTAGGTTAGCATATCTACTTTAGGTATGAATACGGTATATCTGCAAGAAAATGAGCTTTTTAATGATAAATGTTCAGAAAGGTCATCAACATACAAAGAGTAATTATTTAGATAATCAAAGTAAATCTTTTGCAATATCATTAAGTGGAAATATTCTTTAAAAGTTGTCCTTACCTATAAATATAGTGGATTTGTGATAACAGCAAAAGAAACTTTAAACTTAATGCTTAAAAATCTTACATTACTTGCGCATAAATTTAAATGACGCTCGAATTCGATACTAACTAAGTGTAGAGAGATTTTTCTTTTACTAACTTTAATATTTGCGTTTTCTCTGGTTTAGTTTGCTAATATCTATAAAGGTTATAAGCGGTTTATGTTATGAACATTCTAACAAATGCTTAAGTTGATTAAGATCGATTTTAATTGAAACAAATCCACAATTTTTTGTGGTCAAAGAAAAATCTGTAATCCATACAATATATTTTTTGAATCGCAAGAATCCCGTTTCAAATTTAAACATTTTAACTTTGAAATAACAATAACATTTTATTTCAAAATTCTAAGATAGGATTATCTGAATGATCATCATCTAATACCCGTGAAAATGTTTTTATTTCAAAAATCACGATGATTCTATCTAAGGATCAAAATGACTACCAGGCGATGATTTACGGTCGGTTTTCGCTTTTCCAAATTGCATAGCAATAGCTTATACTTACACAGAAAAATTCCTTTTTAAGGAAAATCTTAAGAGTTGTCCCATATCTCGAAAACTCTTCAACTATGCAGTTCGTTTCCGTTCTGCCCAGTTTCGGAATCCAAATCAGGTTTCGTACCCTTAAAAGAAACAAAAAAATTATATTAAATATTGCTTTACCTATTTAACGTAACAAGTGTAATTTTATAAGTATATTAAAATTAAATTTCTTAAGAAACTATGACATCGAACTTGAAAGACATAAAATTTTTAAATTTTATAAGTAATTCAATACGTAATAAAAGAAGTTCACTGTAATGCTTTCATACCCTTGTGTTTTTCTTTCTAAAATTCTGAAATTTTAAAATAAAAAGTTTTTATAAAAATTTTTTTCTTACATTCTATATTGTTAGTAAGACTTCATATCGAATTGTAGAACTTTATATAGAAATATATTTATTTATACATATATGTATAAAAGTCTGCCAGTATTTTTGTAATTATTTCCTTAAACGAAAGAGGGCCCCTAACAAAAATAATTTCATTAAAAATAACACTATGGTAAGGATTCATTTATTTTGTAGAACTCATTAGTAAATTTGTGCTCGTACTTAAACAGATCTTAATTACCAAATCTGTAATTAAATTTTATATTTTATACATATTCTTCCAAATACTAATTTAATTTAACTCAGTTTAAATTTATATAATTGTAATAATATCTGTAGTTTTTAATCATATTGTGATAGAAAATTTCCACTAATTACTCAGTTTATCTATTAAAATTTCTCAAGAATTTTGGTGTTTTATAATTTATTTTCTCTTATTATCAGATGCGTACCAGAAAGCAAAAAACAAAAAGGATATTAAAGAGATTATATTTTCAAGATTTTACTAAATTTATTAATCTTCTTAAATTATTCAATGATTTTTTTTCCAGTTTGCTTGTCAATAAAACTTGAAATCCGGTTAACAGAGAAGATCAAAATGCATAAGAAGTGCACTTGTTCTTAAGTTGTTTACATTATTACATTAATATAAGTGTATAAAACAAGGATAATTTCCACAAATATTTTGAAATAATATTATTCTGAGTAGATGCTGCCAGGAAAATATTGTTACTATGAAATTTTCCAAGTTGCATTGTCATAAAATCCTTTTTTAAATCCTTGTACATTTTTCTCCGTTATTATTTTATTTTGTTTTTCTTTTTTTTTTATAATATACCGATTGTGATTAAAGTTTTTTTTGTTTATTTGTCATTTTTTTTATTTTTTTTTTTTGGTAAAATTTCGATTTTGTTGGATGAAATTCAAAATGATTTGAACATTTTTTTAACATTATGCAAATTTTCAACAGCCATTTTTTATTCACTTTTTTTTTTTTAAATAAATCCGGTTTTGAGATTCAACTCAAGTATATTTGTTTTGCTCTTCTATTTTGTAAACTAAAAAAAAAAAAAAAATA